TGTGGGGGTGTGTTGTGGGGGGTGCTGTGTGGGGGGTGCTGTATGGGGGTGTGTTGTGGGGGGTGCTGTGTGGGGGTGTGCTGTGGGCCCTGCTGTGGGGGTTGCTGTGTGAGGGTGTGTTGTGTGTTGGGTGAGTGGGGTGGGGTTTGTGTTTGTGGGGTGCAGGTTGTGTGTCAGGTGAACCTGTATGGTGTGTGGCGTGAAGTGTGTGAGCACAGAGCTCAGAGCACACAGACGCACACAGGCCTGTTTTCCTCCTGTCTGTTGGCATGTACCTGGTGGAGCGTTGTCCCCACTGTCTGGACCTTGAGTCACTCAGCAGCAGTGGCTTCGCATCTTTGCCCAGCCCCCTCCAGTCCTCCTTGCTTTTTGGTTGTGGGGGGCAGGGAGTCACCGAGCACCCTGTTGAGCTCTGGGCAGGTGGTGCCTCATTCCGGGCCACAGTGCCCTCTGAGACCAAGTGCTGGAGGCCAGCCTGCACATGGCCCTGGTAGGCAGAGGTTTGGTGAAGGCTGCCGAGTGGCCTCACAGCATGGCTGTGTCCCGAGAAGGTTTTGGAAGGAATTGACATACCCATTTTGAAGTGTACAGTCCATGGGGCCTGCCCTTTCTTTGGTGGCTTTAGGGTTTGCCTACATGGTTGGCTCCTCACGTGGGCCCTCCTGCTGTCCACGGTGGTGACTTTGCAGTATTACCGCACCTGGGGGCCAGGTGGAGGTGTGGGGAGCTTTGTGCTGGGGATTGAGCCTGGGGCGCTTTACCACTAAATTGCATCCCCAGCTCTTTTTATTTTAATGTATTTTTTTGTTTGTTTGTTTTAGGTGGACACAATGTCTTTATTTTGTTTTTATGTGGTGCTAAGGATCGAACCTGTTGCCTCATGCAGGCTAGGCGAGGCRCTCTACCTCTTGAGCCACAACCCCAGCCCCCTTTTTAAGTTGTAAGTCAAGGTCTTGCTAAATTGCTGGGGCTGGCCTCAAGTAGCTGCAGGCTCACAGCAAAATGGAGTGGAAGGTCCGGAGTTCCCAGGTCCTGTCTCCCTCTCAGCCTCCCTCGTTGCCAGCATGCCCGCGAATGTCCTGTAGCTGGCCCCCTGCAGCTCCGCAGGCCACCCTCCCTGCTGGGTAGTGCTCACTTAGGCTCCTCCTCGGCCCAGTAGCTCCTTTCTCTTCAGTGCTGATAAGTGCGACTTGTAAAGAACTTTTSGTGCTGTAACTTGAACCCAGGGGCATCTGGGTTCAAACTTGGGATCCTCCTGAGTTGCTGGAATTGCAGGCTTGTGCCTCTGTACCCAGCTAGCAGTACCTCCTTTTGATTCTCACGACTGCCTCAGAAGTAGTAGCTCTTGGATTTCCGTTTTACAGATGAGGAGAGTGAGGCCCAGAGAGCCAGTCTGTAGAGCATGGCCTTTATCCTGAGGACAGAGAGAGCTCTGGAGGCCTCTGAGCAGGAGGGGGCAGTCTGGCCTCCAGGGAGTCAGCTTCTGGCAGGTTCTAGGCCTGCAGGGACAGGAGCCACAGTGGGCTCAGGCCACACGGGGTGTCAGTGAGGAGCACAGCCCTGCATTTCAGTCCACTGAAGTGTGAAGTGAGACCCCGAGGTGGTGCACATGCTCAGGGAAAGGCAGCTGTGCGCTTTGGTTCGTGTACCCCATGCCAGCCTCTGGAAGTGCTGTGTCCAGCAGAGTGGCTTGAGGGTAATGGGCACACCAGGCTGTGGGACAGTGGCAGGAGTGAGGAAGTCGTGCTTCCACCAGCGCCAGCGGGTGAATGGATAGCAAAAGGCAAGTCCACACAGGAGATGTCATTCAGCTACGAGAGGAAAGGAGGTGCACGTGGGCCTGAAAACGTGCTGCGGGGCAGAAGGCARACACAGAGGTCACAGTGTGTAGAGTGTCCAGGTTGGGCAGACCACGGAGACAGAGGGAGACGGAAGGGGATGCGTGGTTGCAGCTTGGGGAGGGGAAATTGGGAATGACTGTTCATGGGGTGGCGTGTTGAAAGTGTTCTGGGTTAGGAGGTGGGCCTGGTGGCACAACCTGGTGAGTCTGCAGGAACCACTGAACGGTAGGCTTTGAAACAGGGAACTGTGTGGGTTAGGAATTATACCTTCAAAGTTACTTCAAAAAAAGGTAGATGAGATGGATGGGGACGGTGGAGATGGTGGTAATGGTGATGGTGGAGATGGTGGTGGGGAGGTTAATGGGGTGGTGGTAGTGGTGGTGATGGTGGAGATGGTGGTAGTGGGGAGGGTGATGGTGGGGAGGGTGATGGTGGTGGTGATGGTGGTGGAGGGGTGACTCTGACCTCAGGGCGGTCCGCAGGCCTCGTCCGGGAGCAGGAGGCTGGGCTGCTGCAGTTCCTCCGCCTGGATGGCTTCTCCGTGCTGATGCGGGCCATGCAGCAGCAAGTGCAGAAGCTCAAGGTCAAGTCGGCATTCCTGTTGCAGAACCTGCTGGTGGGCCACCCTGAACACAAAGGTGGGTGGCTTCCTCAAGGGAGTGGACATTCTGGGGAGGGTGCAGGGTGATGTGAGGACTGTCCTTCTCACCCCGCAGCCCTTCCCTAGGCACCCTGTGCTCCATGGGGATGGTCCAGCAGCTGGTGGCCCTCGTGCGGACGGAGCACAGCCCCTTCCATGAGCACGTGCTTGGAGCCCTGTGCAGGTGTGTGGGGCCCTGGGAGATAGGCCACGTGGTTCCCCACGGAGCACCTTGGGCATCCAGCGTCCTCCCCACCTGGGACCCAGGACTTGGAACCTTCCCTGAGGGGTGCCAGGAGTTTGGGGTCAGAGAGCCCTAATTTCCTCACCCTGGGAGAGGGAGTCTTCCCTGCCTGCTCCCAACAGCTGCAGCAGAGCTGCCAAGTGTCTGCAGAATGGAGGAGGGGTGACAAGTGTCTCTAGTCACCTAGCCTCTGAGATGATGTGGGACCAAGTGCCTTGTAGGGCAGCCACCTGCCTGGGCTCCCCTGGGGTGGGTGGGGGGTGGGCAGCGTGCTTGGGGAACCTGGTCTGAGTGGCAGAGGGCTGTTCCTGAAAGCAGCTCCCTTGTCCCCTGTAGCCTGGTGACAGACTTCCCGCAGGGAGTGCGTGAGTGCCGGGAGCCCGAGCTGGGCCTGGAGGAGCTCCTCCGTCACCGCTGCCAGCTGCTGCAGCAGCACGAGGAGTACCAGGTGCGTGGGGTGCGCAGYGTCCGCTGCCGGCTCGGCTCCCTCCCTCCCCCGCCATTCTGTGGTGGTCAGGGGCGCCCTGTGTCCCTGCAGGGCAGCGAGGAGGAGGGATGGTGGGTTAAAGGTTTTCATTAAGTTGATAAGTAGGTAAAGGATGAATAATTGTATTATCGATTAGATAGTGTAATTAAAAAGTGATAAGTAACCCATTAGATATGTAATGAATAGATAAGAAGTAATAATTCAGTAGATAAACGATGGGTCATTTAATAATTTAAGTCACTTAATAATTTTAGTGATTAATTCAGGGACCTGATTGGTAGGTGATGGATTCATGCTTAGCTGATGGTGCTTCAGCAATCTGCCTGCCCCTGGGTTGTCCATTCCTCTGCTGGGCATGGAATAGGAGTGACCAGGAGAGGCCCGATACTTGCCCTGGCTCTTTACCCTGACCTTGTCACAGGAAGCCGGAGACCGGCCTGGCTGGGCCTGGATTTCCAGTGTGAACCCCAGCCCCCTTTTTAAAGTTTTTTTTTTTTTTTTTTTGTGGTGCTGGGGATTGAACCCAGGGCTTTGTGCATGCGAGGCAAGCRCTCTACCAACTGAGCCATATCCCCAGCCCTCTTTTTAAAGATTTTCGATAGCTTTCTTTCTTTATTTTGGTACTAGAGATTGAGCTCAGGGGTGCCTAACCATTGAGCCACATCCCCAGCTCTTTTTATGTTTTATTTTGAGACGGGGTCTGACTAAGTTTGCTTAGGGCCTTGCTAGTTGCTAAGGCTGACCTTGAAGTTTGATCCTCCTGCCTCAACCTCCCAAGCCACTGGGATTCAGGTGTTATCACAACACCTGCCAACTTTAAATAGATATCAAGAGATAGTTGGTRTATAATAAATGCACGTATCGAGAGTGTACTGCTGGTAGCCCTTCCTTCTCCATCTTCCACTGGTCAGGTGATAGGGAGCCTGTGTGCCAGGCCTGGACAGACGCTGGTCCATGTCCGGCTGCCGTTGCTGCCATAGCAAGCGGCCACAGCGTCTTGGTTATTCCTTTTGTGGTGCTGGGAGTGGAACCTGGGTCTCACGAGTGCTAGGCAGGCAGGCGTCCCCTGAGCTACATTCCTAGCCCACATTGGGTCTTTTCTCTTTCTGTTTTTGGTCCTGGTGACTGAACCCAGGGACCCTTGTCACTGAGCTGTAGCATCCCATCTCTTTTTTTCTTATTTTGAGACACATTGCCCAGGCTGGCCTCAGACTTCCCATCCTCCTGCCTCAGCCTCCTCAGTCCCTGGGATTGCAGGTGTGCACCACTGTGCCCAGTCAGCAGAATGTCTTAAAATCAGTTCACTTTCTCACATGGTTCTGGAGGCCCGGGGTCCAAAGCCACAGTGCCCATAGCGCTGCGCTTTCTCTGGGGCCGGACCGAATTCTTCCTTGCTGTCCAGCTCTTGGTTGTTGCTGGCACTCAGAGTGTCCCTCGTGGTGGACGTATCAACCCAGCTCTCCTCTGTCTTCAGTGGCCTTCTTTCCTGGGGGTTCTGAAAATCTTTCCAGATTTCTAGGTATAAATCTGATTTTAATGTAATTCTTCATTCAACATTCTCTAGTTGACTATCAGTCAGTCCTTTTTTGGGGGGGCTGTGCTGAGTATGGAACCCAGGGCCTCACACATGCTGAATATAAGCTGTGCCATTGAGTGAACCCCTCCCTACTGATGTTTAATAAAAGTTTTTTGTATTGGGGGTTGAATGAATACAGGGGTACTCTATTCATTTTTATTTTTTATTTTGAGACAATGTCTTGCTAGTTTGCTGAGGCTGGCCTCAAACTTGTGATCCTCCTGCCTTAGCCTCCCATGTCACTGGGATTACAGGTGTGCGCCACTGTGCTAGGCTCCTGGTAATGTTTTTTGAACAGAATCTGCAGTTACATGATTCAAACATCAAAACCAGAGGAGGGTAAACAGTGAAAGGCTCTTACCCACATCCTCAGCTGCCTTGTGCCTCCTCCAGGTCCTTGTGTACCCTCCCTAAGATAGTAGGCTCGCATCTAAGCAGAGGTGCACATAGTTCTTCTTTTCCTCTCTTTTGTGCAGAATTAGCTCCTCATGACTGCAGTTACTTCCTGTCCTGTTCCCTTCCCTAACACCTCCCAGCATGCATTGCGCTTGGGTTCTTTCCTGGCTGGTGACAGCTGCAGGCTGTGCCTGGCTCCTCTGAGGTAGCTGTCCCCTAAGGGGTGTGCGGGTTCTTCTCTCTCCTGCTACCAGCGCTGCTATAAGAATCATCTTTTATATACGTTGTCTTGTACGTCTGCAGAACGCGTTTCAAGAAGGGAAAAGGCTGCCTCAAAGTCAGAACCCAGGAGTGCTGGGGGTGCAGCTGGGTGGTGTAGCGCTCCCCAGAACACCCCGCCCCGGCCCCTGGCAGAAAAGGAGGGCCGTGGCTGCAGGTGTGCTTCGAGGATGGGGGGTGCAGGCCGCACTGTTGGCTGCTGCGGGTTGTCCCGGCCAGGCACCCGGCTCCCCGCCCGTGTGGCCCGCCTCAGGCTAACTGTGCCAAGTGATTTTTCCTTCCAGCTTGCATTTCTCCCAGGAGTGAAATTAGGCATTTTTTTCTTGTGAACAATAATTATTCATATCCTTTGTTCATTTATTTATTGTTCATTTATCCACCACTGAGCTTCATCCTTAACCCTTTTAATTTTATTAAATTAACTAATTATTAATTTTTTGGTACCACGGGTTCAACCCAGAGGCACTTAACTACTGAGCCACATCCCCATCCCTTTTTAGTTTTTTGAGACAGTCTTTCTAAGTTTCTTAGGGCCTTGCTTAACTGCCTAGGCTGGCCTGGAACTTGTGATTCTCTTGCCTCAATCTCCTGAGTTGGGAGGGGATTACAGTTGTGGGCCGCTGCCCTCAGCTTTATTTTTTATTTGAGACAGGGTCTCACTGAGTTACTGAGGGTCTTGCTAAGTTACTGAGGCTGGCCTCCAACTTGCCATCCTCCTGCCTCAGCCTCCCAAGGCACTGAGACTACAAGGGCAAGGCACTGCACCCAGCTGGGGAGTGGAGTTTTCATTCGATATTTTATTTTAAGTATTTTTTTAGTTGTAGATGGACACAATACTTTTTATTTATTTATTCATTCATTCATTTATTATTTTTATGTGGTGCTGAGGATTGAACTCAGTGCCTCACACATGTGAGGCAAGCACTCTGCCACTGAGCCACAATCTCAGCCCTATGTCGAGTTTTTAAAAGTGTTTAAGCATTAAGTATGCCAGAACTTTGTCATATAAATCACAAACACTTTCTCCCCAACTTATTTTTCTTTCATTTTTTATCTGTAGTTTATCTGCCATGGAGGTCTTTTATCTTTTTTCCTGGTGTCTGGGGTTTGTTTCTAGGGAAGGGATTTTGAGTATGGAGTGATGGGTCAATCACTCTGGGGAGTCAGAGCGGCCTAAGGGTGCTGGTCTGAGAACCGACCGGTGTGGGGAGATCCCAGGTTCAGAAACCAGTGAGGAAAGAAAGCCAATGGTGGATCTGAGCAGTGGTCAGCAAGGCCTGGGTGGCTTCTCGGGTGGGCAGGAGTGGAGAGGACCTGCCCCTGCTGCCGTGCATGCTGGGCAGGGCCTGGCCTCTGCTCAGGTCGCCCTTCTCCGCTGCCATGCAGGAGGAGCTGGAGTTCTGTGAAAAGCTGCTGCAGACCTGTTTCTCCAGCCCTACGGATGACAGCATGGATCGGTGAAAGGAGGGGGCTTCTCACCCTTCTCCGCGGAGCCCCAGGCCTCCTGCCTCCCTCCCTCCCACCTGAGGCACTGTAGCCTTGTCGCCTGGGCCTGGGGCATGCCAGGCTGTCTCTGGGCTGCCCCCTGGAGGGGTCCCCAAGAAAGGCTTCGGCTCCTGGGACCCCCACCTCCCGTGCTTGCTCACCCTCAGCCCCTTTCTCATGTCTGCACTGTTCTTCCAATAAAGGTGTTTCTCCTCCTCCCCCTTCACTGCCACCTTTGTCACCTCCTTTAAAGGGTGCTTGGGGGAGGGCAGGAGAGGCATGAGCTTGGGGAGACTTGGGGAGCCACTGGAGAGGTAATAAAGGTGTTGCTGTTTGACCTGCAGAGCTGTTGTCTCTTTCCATTTCTGGCGTCTCTTCGGAGAGAACGTGGGGAACATTTGTGTTTTGGGGTTACCAGCATCTCTGGTCTCCTTAGTGAGATTAGAGGTTCTAAGGTGGAAGCCATTCTTTCTCAGCATGCCTTGCAGTAGGCCAGTCATGGGACCTCACCTCCTCCAGTCAGAACCCATGGGAAGTCTCGCGGTGGGAGCTAGCGATGGAGGAGGCCCTGCCCAGGGTACGTGCTGGCCACAGTGGAGTAGACGCACCTGGCTTAGAGAGGGTGGGCAGAGGTTGTGCCCCTAGTATCTGAGCTGGATGCTGGTGACAGTGGCTGCTGCATCCCAGGAGCAGTCTTTTTTTTTTTTCAAGAGAGTGAGAGAGGAGAGAGAGAGAGAGAGAGA